TAGCGATAAGTATTTTTTCTTGTTTACTTCTTTTATTTCACTTTCTCATCTCTAAACAAGCCAAACAGATATTTCCAACCCAGGCAAATGATGCACCTGTAAGGTGTTAGTGGGATCAATATGAATTTTCTGTCCGAGGGAATGAGTAATTATTCATTATTGGTCAAAGGGTTGGACACTAATATGTGTTTACAGGGTTCCCGCGGGCCTTGCAAATTTCAAAAAGTGGAAACGAAAATTATACAAATGTCGATTATTTATTTACTCTGCAACCACCACTGAAAATCGTTTTCCAAAGAAAATATAAATACATCAATATTTCAGCATCGAAACCATTTAACGTCAAAGTAGTATGTTAAAATAAGAAATATCTTTTATCATTAATCTTAATTTACTACCACTACGAAAAATTTTTAAGGACCGCGGGCACCATGGTTTATAAGGCCCTCATTTCAACACCTTTTTGCTCTCAGTTCAGTTAAAAATATACCTGCAAACAAGTGACTCTAATTTAATTATGGCGAGCAGTAAACGTAAAACGTTCTCCATTGTTGATATAATGGGCATAATCAGAAAAATTGAAAATGGATGTAATCAAGCTGATATTTGGAGGGAATATAAACTATCTAATGTTTGTAACATATGGAAAAAAAGGAAACTAACGATTTCTGCTCATGAAAAAAAAAATTAGATATCAGAAAAAAGTTGAGAAAAGCAGATCACAAGTCTATAGAAGAAGCATAGTGGTTCAGCATTCGAAGAGGCCGTAATTTTCCAGTATTTGGACAAATGTCGATGAACTTAACTTAAATTGCACTGTAAAAATTGTTTTGTATTCCCCTGAATTTGTTGTAAAGAAAAAGTCCGAAAATTGTGAGAACAAATACTTTATTTTAAGTTAACATTTTAAGAGTAATATTTCAATCTAAACACCAATAATGGAGAATACTTTCACAAAAATCGCGAGAACATGAAAATCAAATTATTAGACCAAAAGTTATGAAGGTCTTCATTTGTTTTCTCTTTTAAGCGCAGTTTACTTAATATTAGGCTATGTTAAAGACATTTTTTCTTTTCTTACCTTATAAATTCTTTATTATGAAAACATGCATGCTAATTTCATGCAATTTATTTTCTTTTTTTGGAAATAAAATAAGAGTGACTGTGAAACGGATGAAGATGTGAAATACCGCAATCACTTATCAGCTTTAGCATTATCAGTTAATTGTTCACGATACGCTTGACTTTATCATTTCTATTTTGTTTTAATAACAAAATGCAACAATCTCGTACATGCAGCTTGTTAAAAACTGCATATCAAATAAAAAAAAAAGTATGTGACTGGAATAAATTAACTTCCAAAGGTAAGAAACATAATTATTTAAGGTATCTCGTAAACTATAATGACATATATCGATCGTGATGAAGTAGTTTATAGCGGAGTAGTTAATAATTAAAATAGTAAGATCTGAATAAATATACGTCTTATAGATAAGGTAACAAAATTGAGTGTAATACAAATCTTAATAATGTTTGGTGTTATTTGCGAGAGTAAATGTTTAATTATAATGTAATGCACGAAATCTTTTGAAGTAATTTTCAGTGAAGATTTCAATATGGGCGATAGTTATGATAAACAAAATAACTAGATAGACAAACCTTAATAGTGTTTGATATTTAAATTTATAGTGGATTAAATTCAATTTGGCTTAGTCTAATTAGTGTGTTATAAAAACTTCGAAGTAGAAAATTTAATTAGTGGATGATTTTTTTAATAATTTTATCATTTTGTTAAAAAAAATATTAGAATGCTGTAACAACTCCATGTAACTAAATATTACATGCAATAATTGGCATGCCAATACTTCGAATTAATAGCGCAAAGCATCGTTTTGGCACTATTCCAACATGGAATTCATCTATTTACTTCATGAAAGAACTAGCTAGACCAGTGATTCCACTGTAACACGTCACTGTTGTGTGCCGCCAAATTCTTAAAGCGTACCATCAAATTTTAGAAATGATACCGTAAGAATTAGAATGCCTTTATTTATTACGAATAAAGTTTGAATTTAAATGTATATATATGTATTTTTTTTGTATACATTTCTTTAATTTAAACACTTTACTCGTAATAAAATATGTATAATATTTTTTTGAGTAATGAAATATGTATAATATTTTTATAATTCAATGGAGTGAACATCTTTGTCGGTGATAGTCCTATCCTCTGACAATGTTAAAATAAGTAGTAAATTTAATGACTATTAAAACTATTACTTAACAAAAGAAAGCAAGTTTAATGTTAACTTACAAAAGGAAATAGAAGCTAATAATTAAAATAAGCTATGCAATTAATAATTAGAAAAGTAAATTAACAAAGAATAACTATAAAAAAAACAAGCTAACAATTAAAAATTGGCAAAAAAAAAACAAGTTAACAAGGAATCACAAAAAATAACAA